CCAACCACCAGTTTTTACAACTTCCTGTTCCAGAGTGGCACCTATAAGTCTCCAGTCTTTGCTCTAAACCTCAAGTTGCCCTAACGAACACCATCTTGCCCTTCTGATTTCTTTCTCTGTGGCATTCTCTCCTTGGATTCCAGGATCATAAGTCTAACAGACAAACATCCTGTGAAGCAGATCAAAACTGCCCCCAGCAGTGGTGACTTCCTTGTCCAGATAAGACTGTATGGCCAGTCCTAAGACAATGATCAACCAGAGAACCCGACCATGACTGAGCTACACAACCCCCCTTGACTTCTGCCTTGCACTCTCCGTGGGGGGTGGGGGTGGGGGCAACCTGAAGACACTCAGTGTGGCCAGACTGAAAACACGTTCTTTCCTGGTATTCACCATCACTTGTCTCCATTCTCAACATGTGAGGCAAGTGTCTGGCTGGAACTCGGGTTGTCAGGATGCCTGGCGAGTGCCCTACCCACTGAGCCATCTCTCTTCACTCGTTAGTTCAGAGGGGTTTTTCTCAGTGTGCTTCTCCTGTTCCAGCTGGCCAATTTGCTCTCTGTACCGCTGCCAGAGATTGTAGTCCAGCACTTCAGTGTCCTCTGTCTTATTTTGTTCACTTGTTGGAGCACACCTTAAAGTAACTATCTCAGAAGACCAATTTCAAAAAAGCCGGTGCCATTCAAATGCCTCTCGCTCTTTTATAGCTACAAGTACTTTTCTCTTGAAAAAATGTAAAGCCTAGGTAAGGATTAGTCTTTTATTATTTAATATGTGCACCAATTAATGCATCTTTAAATTTCTTTACGTTTTCTTTTCTCACAACTCTGTGTTTCTGTTTATAACTTCTATTTGTTGGACATTAGATTTCTTGGCGTAATTCCTTGGTCCCCCTTCCGTCCCCTCACTCATAGGTGGTACGGGGACTGAACCTAGGGAAGCACCCTTCTGCTGAGCCACCTCTCCAACTCTACCCATGTTATCGTAATCTCTCTTCTGCCACCGGGGCCTCTTACATTAGTTCTACAAGACCTGGAGAATGCCCTGAAGGGAGACCCGATGAACTGCTTTGTCTCTTTGAGACTTTCTTCTGATCTCCAAACTTGTTTCTAGACTCTGGGATCCGTCTCTTCCATTTTGATTCATTTATCCAGCCAGTATTTAATAAGTGCAGTGTGTCAGGCGATGGGGATGCTAACCCTGAAAAGTTCTGCCTTCATTTCCAGCACTGAGAATGTGTAAGTAACACATCCTTGGCTATGAGGCTGCTCGGCCTCCCCATACCTGTGACCCTAAAAGTACAGTGCTATGAAGGGCACATTATCCTGAACAGAAGAGGATCAGACACTGAGAACAGGAGTTCAAAGCTAGCCTTAGCTGCATAGTGAGGCCAGAGGGTTATCTATTTAGTTAGTGCTGCCTCCATCAACTAAAGCTGTCTTCACGAGTTCTGTTCATGATAGAAACGCTTGACATGTTTCCCACGCCCTCTTATGTCCTCAAAGAAAGGGAGAAAATTATAAACAACAAAATTTTTTTCTAGTGGACTGACAAGATGGCTCAGTGGTCAAGCTTGCTGCTCTTTCAGAGGACCCGGGTTCATTTCCCAGAACCTACATCAGGAGGCTCACAACTGCGTGTAACTGCAGCTCCAAGGGATCCGACGCCCACTTCTGGTATCCATGGCACTTGCACATGTGGCATTTACTCACACTGACACAAAGGCACAGACATACACACACACACTTATAGTCATTCTATTTGCAAAAAAACTGAGTGGCACTAGTTCTCAAACTATAAGAAGAAAATAAAACTAGGAACATTTAGAAACACTTCCAACAGTCCAGTCAATCTCAGTTGCTCACTCTGGGGTTGTCTATAAGCAGTCTTCAGAGGAAGAGACTCCTTCTTATACTCAGAGATGTCAAGCTTCCAGCAGTGTTAGCTGTCTCTTGGTTTTCCCCTCTGCAGTGTGCTGACCCAGGGTGTAACGGGTCCTGGGCCAACAGTACTTGCTGATGGCCTTGCAGGAGACACTCACTGTGGGTCTCTTCCATGGGCTGCAGAGATGGCTCAGTTGGTAAAGGGCTTGGCTCTCAGGCCTGAAGACCTGAGCTCATTCTCTGGCATTTCACAAAAAGCAAGAAGTGTGGTGTGTGTCTATAATCCCCATGTTGGAGAGCTGGAGACAAGATGGGACTTGCTGAAGGTGGAATTCGACTGCACACATGCATACACAAACCATACACACACACGTCTCCTTTCCAAATTACCCGGCACAATTACCTGACCTTGTCTACTTCCCTGCCAATGACCTATCTGATAGTAATAAAAATAACTGCCTAGTGATGAGTCAGCTGCAGTACAATTGTGCTGCATATTGTTTTAATTCAAATAAACACCGTGTGACGAGAAGGCACTTGAGAGGGGACCTTGCTAAACTTTGTGTCTACTACATCTGCCGTCACGCAAGCTCCATATTTAGTGTGAGTACCTCAGCTGTGGACTCCTCAGAGGGTCCACTGATCTGTTCAGAGTGCAGATGAGAAACTGAAAACAGCAAGCAACATGATTTGCAAGGGAAAACACCTTGAAATACAGTGTCTCTCTTAAGACACAGAAACAGAAAAAAAGGACCTCGTTCACAAACAGGATCTTAACACTGAGCGACCCATGGTGGCGCTGTGGAGCTGAGGCACACGGGGCCCTGAATAGCCCAGGATACGGTAGAGACCAGTCTGAAACAAAGCAAAATCAAACAAAAGCAGCTCTCTGTCAGAGTGGGCAGAAGCAATCACTCTCTTTTTTTTCTAAGACAGGATTTCTCTGTGTAGCACCCCTGGCTGTCCTGAAACTACTTCTATAGACCAGGCTGGCCTTATACTCAGAGATCCACCTGCCTCTGCCTCCTGAGTGCTGGGATTAAAGGCGTGCACCACCAACAACCGGCTCACTCTTCTATAGCTTTTATCTGAAATCAATTAAAAATACATTTGCCACTTTATAAAAACATTTAAATACAATTTTGAAAGATTTTATTTTTCTCATTTCATTTGTATGGGCATTTTGCCTGTATTTTTGTATACCAAGTGTATGCAATGCCAAAGGAGACCAGAAGAGGGCATCAGATGCCCCTGGAACTGGAGTTACAGAGGCAGTGAACTACCACGCAGGTGCAGGGAATCAAACCCAGGTCCTTTGGAAGGGCAGCCAATGCTCTTAACTGCTGAGCCATCTCCCCAGGCCCTTTATAAGAAATATTGTAAAAAAGTATGCAGACAGGAACAATTTAACTAGAATGAAGTGTTACCCTTGTGAACTTTGTTTTTGTGAGACAAAATTTCAAGCAGTCTAGATTTGCCTCTAATTTTCTATAGAACCAAGACTGACTCTGAACTACCGATCCTGCCCCCTCAGTGTCCCAAGACATGGGATTACAGATACGGCCACCAAACTAAGCTTCTAAAAGCTAAGTTTTTGTTGGCTTGGTTTTTTGTTTTTTGTTTTTGTTTTTTTGAGACAGTGTCTCAAGGGGCTCTGGGTTGACCTTGAACTCACTCTGTAGCCAAAGGTAGCCTTGAACTAATTATGCAGCAAAGGGTGGCCTTGAACTCTGTGTGTTTTGGGGAAGTGGTGTGGAGGGCTGCATGCTAGAGTTCCATCATGAGCTACAGCTTAGTCCCGCTTGTGTCCTGCTTGCTTGTGAAGAGGGCGGAGCCGCTGAGTGAATGCAGTCAGCTTTAAGAATACCAGTGACACCAGACACCGAGAGACAGCCCCTTCCTCTGGTTCAGGTTCCCACTGTGACTCTGCTCCCTCATGCCTCCAGTGACTAGCACCTGAGACTGGAGAGGTGCGCTTGGAACAAGTGACAAGGGCTCAGTAGAACTGGAAGGATGGACAAAGGAAAGCAAAGCTTCTGTAGCGGGAGAGGGAGTTATTATGGCGAGCAATTTCCCCCTAAGTGACGCCAGTGCACAGACAACGAGAAACAGGGCCAAGGATGTCCACAGACTGTTTTGGTTGGCATTCAGCAGACACTTAAGGACCCAAATATTTTTGGCCTCTTGTTTGAAACCACAGACTGTTTCAGGATCTCCACCACATGTATTAAGAGCTTTTTACCTTGCTAAATGCTTTGACACTTTGGACTTAGACCACTGAGCTCTCAGAGCTAAGAACCTCAAAATCACCTCTCTCCGATGTCAGGGTTCTTCCATTCAGCCTTCTAAGGCTAGGACTATCTGAGTGCTGGCTGTGTGCTTTATTCTCTTACCTAAAAATCATCTTATACTACCTCTTTGGAAGTGATGGTGATTATAATCCTTCATTTTAGGGCCACTCATTAATGAGAGTCACTGCCGGTATGTGCCTCTCCAGGCTCGGCCCAGCATCGATCTTAGAGACTCATGAAGGGCTGAACTGGAGGGAGGAAATTAACAGCACATTTTGCTCTTACTTCCTCCTATATTCCCTGTGCCTCTGGACAATACTCACAGGGCCAGGGCTGATCAATAATTGTCTGCCTTAATTGATGACTACTATGTATTAACAGTTGTAGGGTGCTCGAAACCATTCGTGGTGTAGGAGAAAGAGTGTTGTATTTTTCTTTGCCGTTAAAGGGATAGGAAACAGTGCTTGGGGCTGCCCAGTAACAGGCTTTGGATGTAAGAAAGGAAATCATTTCCTATTCCTTGAAAACTTCAATTTACAAAAGAATGCTGGGAGCTAAAAGCCTTGTTGATTTATCACATGAAGCTGAGAGTAATTTTTCTCCCCTTGTTATACTTTTATATAATCCTGTTCATGCCTGTATGGGTGGCACTAAAGAATTTCTGAATAAAAATAATAATTTCTCGCTTTCAGCCTTCATAATTCACACCAGCAAGCACCCTGCTGGGTGGTGATGCCTACTGCCACTACTGCCAGTGACGCTTTGCTGGTCTTTTCTGCTGCCACTTATCTGCCTCACCCAGCTGGCTCTCCATTGATCACAATACCTGCAGGATAATGTGCCCGAAGGCATTCTTCAGTAGATTAACAGCATCTGTGTGAGACAGTCCATCCAGGGGTTGCCCATTAATGCTCACAATCCGATCTCCAACCTGGAAGGACAAAAGTGGGAGAAAATCACTATCATTAGGAAAAAATTAAATTTGAGAAGAATGCCTGAAACTCTTCGTGAGCTGTGTTCCCATCTGCCTGGTTGTTGAGGGCTGGCTCTTGTGGAGTGTAGGGAATCTTTATGGCTTTCCCCAGATGCAGCCCAATCAGAGAAACAGGAAGGGGGTCAGTTCTGATGACTGAAGGGCACTGCAGATCACTTTTGTATTTTGGTAATGGTGGTGTTTTACACACACACTTGCCAGTAAGAGTGGGGTGCACAAATTAGCTGCTCAATGGAGCTCTAATGAGGAAGACAAGTATTCTCTGCTTAAATTTCATACCTCAGTGAAAATTAAGGGACAATGGGAAAAAATCATAAAAATGTTGATACTTTTGGTGGGTGGAAGATTACAGGATCAAATCTGAGTTAAAGACCAATTTTGGATAAATGAGATGCTAAAAGGGTTTCAGAGGTTTGTAGGAAGCTGTGATTCCTTCTTTTACTATGAAGCACTGATAAAAACAACGGTTTTATATGTCCAGGGACTTATGAATTTCAGGTCTGTGGCCTTGCTAATGTATTCTGCCCTCAGCACGGGTTGCTGATGGCTTTTGCAATTCTAACTTTAAACGAGGTCCCTGTGGCTACAACTTCCTCCTCCACCCAACACATGCTGTCAGCCTTCTGCCTTTCCCCTCTCGTATTTACCTTAAGCTTCTGGGTGCGTGCGGCCACTCCGCTGGCCTGAATCATGGCAATAAATATCGGGATATCTCCCAAAGGACTTCCCTTTCCTCCAGCAATACTGATTCCAAGGGCATCACTGAGCTCCTAAAAGAGAGAGAGCAGAAGGCCTGCATCTTCAGTAACAGGCATAGAGAGAGTGTCCTCAGATTGCACTGGACAAAAACTCTCCATGATGTAGGAGGCCAGCGTAACATGGGAGCCGAGCCCAGGGCATCAAGAAGGCCTGTGTCACCGTGTTCAGTCAGGCAGCTGTTGGGGCATCAGAGAAGTCCATCTCAGGGAGCCTCCAGTTTACATACAAGATGGGAAAGAGACTGCACAGTACTCGGGGATAATTTGAGCATAAATAAGATAACGTAGTGCTGTCCTGGCCTTCAGAGAAGAGGTTCAATAAAAGCCAATAGCAGCAGTAAATTTAAAAACAAAAGCCTTCAGTACTGCTCAGTGGAGAGGCCAATTTGACGCAGCCTTGGCAAGTGTGTTCTCATATGGTGTTTATGATTAAACTGCCACGCATATCATGTTCTGGGTGTGAACAAACACACTTGGCTTCAAAAGAGCTACATGGCTGCATTAAACAAAGGATCCTAGAGGGTGCCCACTGTTGTGACAACAGTTTGGAGAGGGAAGTAAAATAGTAGCAAATTTTTTTGCAAAGATGGACCATTGTGTAGAAATCTGGCTCTCACCCCTCCTCCCAGCATACAGTCATTAATATTTTTAAAATGAGTAAAAAAGCAAATGACAAGTTGCAGTTCTGGGCTGGCACTCTCACCAACTATGGCTCCTGTTGACTATAATGGAAAAGTCTTGTCAAAATGCAGATAACAACAGCCCATAGCACCTGTAACAGGAAGAAACTAAAACTGGTAAATGACAGCAGCAGGGGTGCTTTGTCCCCAGGCTTACCATGTGGGTGTACTTGTGTTCATGCACTTGTGAGAGTATGTGTGTGTGAGCATGAATACACATGCATGTGAGCACAGGCAGGTGAACATGTCTATGGGTACAGTCATGTGTATGCATGTGCACACGCATGTATGTTCCATTTTTACTCTGAGGGAGACCCCAATCAAACTCAGAGCTGAAGAGGTGGCTGAACCATTGACATTCTGATGTAAACCCCATCCTTCTGGCAGGAAGAACCAGAACCAGGGATATCTGGTTCACTGGATAATAAGAGAAGCTATTCAGAGTGAAGGAGTTAGAAAGAGACCCTGAATTCTGGGCACAAATGCACGGGATGCTCAGGCTCAGTTCTAATCTACTAAGTGCAGAAGAGACCTCAACCAGCATACCGAAATTTTGATTACTAAACTTCGATTTGAATCACCATTAGAATCATCAGACAGAAACTGCACTCTCAATCTAACTGGGCCAATGCCGATGGCCTGCTAAAGCATAAGCACCATTATTCTTCAGGGTTGACACAACTTAACATCCAGGATAAAAATCTAAAGTTTGTTAACATGCAGAGAAAAATGTAACCATTTTCTTCTCTAATGCTCTTCAGAATGTGGAGGACAGTTGAAAGGAAACACTGTAACAGTGTTTTATATAGACATGAATGGCCGTACCAGGCCTCTGGCTGGATCTCAGCATGGGAAAACAAAACAGAGGCCGGGGACAAGTGCTACTCCATGAGGAAAAGGACCACATGGTCACAGTTTCTGTATAGTTGAAACTTCTCATTTGAAAATATTCCTAGCCACCGGGTGGTGGTAGTGCATGCCCTTAATTCCAAGAGGCAGAGGCAGGCAATCTCTGAGTTTGATGCCAGTCTGGTCTACAGAGTGAGTTCCAGGACAGGCAGAGATACACAGAGAAACCCTGTCTCAAGACAAACAAACAAAAAAACAAAAACAAAAACAAAACAAAAACAAAAACCCAAACCAACCAAACAATATAATTCATAGCCAAAGACGGGCATGATCCCAAAACTCTGGAGGCAGAGGCAAATGGATTTCTGTGAGTTCTAGGATAGCCTGGTCTACATAGAAAGTTCCAGCAGAGCTACACAGTAAGAATCTTGCCTCAAAAAGTAAAACAGAAAAGCACCTTCAAAAGACCCAAATGAAGAGAACTTAAAAACAGACTTGCAGGGAGGGGCTGCAAGGAGCTCACGGCAGAACATGCCTTAGTCTGTATGAAGCTCCGGTTTTAATCTCTAGGGCGCAAATCAAATAAAATGTCATCAACAAGGCAAAACATTCTACCTTAGGGCCATGAAGAGAGTTGGGAAGATAAAAATCCCTGAAACTCATGCTATCCCAGCACTCCTACAGAGGGGTAGGACACAGAGACAGGAGGATGGTCTGGAAGCTCACAGGCCAGTGGGACTGGAGATTTCAGCCCAGCTGCAGACACTAGAGAAGCCCTTTCCCAGTCAGGCAGACGGTAAGAATCGATTCCCTGAGTTTCCTGTGACTTCCGCATGTGAGCTGTGGTCTACATATGCATGCGAGTACACACGCCCCCACATCCCATGGACCTCATTACCCAGCTGCACCACTCCTGAGTATGTATGCAAAGGATTCTTCATCCTACCAAAGAGACACTGTCTCAACCACGCTCATTGCTGCTGCCTTCAAAATAGCCAGGAACTGACGGCCGGGCAGTGGTGGCAAAATAGCCAGAACTGGGAACAACATAGATGTCCCTCAACAGAAGAATGGTTATGTAGAGATTATATAAAGATGATGACATAAAGATGAATTATTCTATCATCATTAGTGCTGCCATGCCATAACTCTAACTTAGAATAATTGTGATGCTTCACTTCCAGGGAGCTTCTATCCCACTTTCACAGAATTTGTGTCCAATTGATACCTTCTAAATGCATCAATTATAGGCAACACCTTCTGTGCAAAATTCCAAGAGGTTTTAATGTACTTTTATTTTGTATGTATGGGTGTTTTGCCTGCATGTACATCTGTGTACCACACGTGTGCGGGCCCATCCTGTTCTTAGTTCATTTGGATTGCAATGAGGAGATACCAAGACCAAGATAACACACAAGAAAGCATTTCACTGAGGGCTTGCTTACAGCCTCAGAGGGCCAGTGCAGGACTATCATGGTGGGGAGCATGGCATCAGGACTCTAGAGCAGAAGCTGAGAGCCTATATCTTATCCACAGACACAAAGCAGACAGAAGCAGGGCTGGGCCTGGTGTAGAGTTTTCAAAGCTCAAAGCTCAGCCTCGTGACAACACCTTCTTCAACAGGGCCACACCTCCTAATTGTCTTGAACAGTCCACTAAATGGGAACTAAACATTCAAACGTCTGAGCCTATGGGAGCCACTCTCAGTTAAACCAACACAGATGCCCTGTAGCTGGAGTTCTAGACTGCTGTGAACCAATGCTGGGGGACTTGAACCCAGGACTTCTGGAATAGCCACCAGTGCTCTCAACTGCTAAGCCATCTCTCCAGTTCCCAAGAGATGTTTTATTATGAAGTCTGCAAATGGACCACGTGAGAATAGGGTGGGTATGAGCAGGCCTATTCTAGAAGCCTGTAAAAAGAAAGGACTGAAAGATACAGAAAATATTTTCAAAATCTCAGAATGCTTTGGCCTTAGTTCCATCTATATTTTATCTGCAACTGTGTATACTATTTGCGCATTTAACTTCTTATCACAGAGCATCTGAACTGGCACTCTAGTGGAAAGATACAGGGTAAGTAAGCTTGGCTAAATTGCAGCTAGGAAGGACAGATGCCATTTTCTGGCCTTTAGGAGGGACTCAGAATCACATGCTCTATACATCTTATCTCATTTATTGATTTTGGTTTTCTGAAATAGGGTCTCTGTAGGACAGGCTGACTTGGAACTGGTTATGTAGCCCAGGCTGGTCTTGAACTCATGGCAATTCTCTTGTCTTAGCCTCCAAAATGTAGAGATACAGGCATGAGGCATCAGGCTCAGCATTTAATCCACACAAAGTATTGATCTATGATATGAGTTAGTTTTACAAGCCCATGCTATAGATGGCAAAATTGAGGTGGACCCAATGGCAGACCACTGAGCTGATGTTATAGACAACCAGAGTTTAATATTGAACCCCCATGTTCTATTTCCTCAGAACACGGTTTCATTTTGAGACAGTGTTTAGAATGAGACCACTAGGGTGAGCTTTAAATCAGTCTAACCAGGAATATTCAAGGGAGAGGCTACGCAACAGGAGAGACTCCAGAATGATGAAACACATCAAGGACAGGTCCAAGAGGCCACCACAGGAAGGCAGCCATCTGCAAGCCAAGGAGAGGTCAGAAAGTTAACCCTAGACCCTAATGTTGAACTTTTAGTTTCTACAACTATGGAAAACTAACATCTGCTGTTGAAGATACCCTGCCTATAATATTTTGTTAGGCAGCTCTGCCAAATAAACAGTCAAAGACCTATGATTGAATCCAGAGAGGGGAGCTGTGCAGGAATCACCTCACTGCATTGGTTACACTGATTATAACAGAGCTGTAGTCCTATTACTGTTCTTGAATCTCAACTTTACAGTCTACTTTCTAATATTCCAGATATCACACACGAGTTGAAAACTCAGCATCTAAAAATGTATGAGCCGGAATAAACCTCACACAATCTTCTCAAAGGAGCAATTCAACAACACATAACGGCCTTTAATAAGAAGTATCCCGCATGCTGAAGATGGAAAGCATGGTCTTGCATACACTAGCCAAGCTCTCTGCAACCAAGTTGAACCCTGGGTTCAAGCGTGGCTTTGTATCTGATAGCTTCCTTTCTAGGAAGTGATCCTGAAATGATTATTCATGACATAGGCAAAAATGTAAATATAACAATGGTTGTTATAAGGTAAATATTATACATGGGGTCTAAAGAGATGTTGAACAGTTAAAGCATTTGCTGCTTTTGCAGAGGATGTGGGTTCCATTGCCAGCATCCATGTGGGGGTTCACAACCCCCGTAACTCCAATTCCAAGGAATCCATTGCCTGCTTCTGGCTTTTGTGGGTACCAGCTATGCACATAGTGTACAGACTACATGTGGGCAAAACACTTATACACATAAGATAAAAATAAATCTAAAAAAAAAGAAGAAACATGTTAAAAGCTGAGTGTTGGTAGCTCAAGCCTTTAATCCCAGCACTCAGGAGGCAGAGGCAGAGGCAGGTGGATCTCTGTGAGTTCAAGGCCAGCCTGATCTACAGAGCAAGTCCAGGACAATCTCCAAAGCAATACAGAGAAACCCTGTCTCAAAAAACCAAAAAAAAAAAAAAAAAAGAAAGAAAAAAGGAAACATGTTCATTGTTTAATGAGAGGAAGCTGATTAAGAAAGTTCTAGGCACACCTAGACAGTGGCGTGAATACTACATCACCAGTAACAATTGTGTTCTGTGCTGTCATGAGCACTGACATGGCTCCAAGTTTACATCGCAAGGTAAAGAAGATGAGCTACAAGACAATGTCCAACATACTTTTTGTTGTGTGAAATTTAAACACACACTATTATAAAAAGGATATATTAAAATATTCACAATGGTCATTTACATGGTTCCATTTATTTTTTAAAGTCTATTTGAGTTATATACTTAATTTACTAACTTGGAAGAACAATAATCTGATAAATTGCATTCAGAAAGAAAATGTACAAACAAGAATAAAAATAGTAACCGACTTACTCTGATTATCTCAACAGTCCTTGGTCCCACCTCTGTGCCTATGAAAGAAGCAAGACCATCATCATTAATGCTTTTGAATCAGAGGTAACATGCTTAAGATGTACACTCCATAAAGAAAGGAGCATTCTTCTAGGTTTTCAAGAAAGGAGACTAAAGCAAGCAAGAAAACCTCTCCTCAGCAACAGGACCCAGCTGAGTCTTCAGGGGCAGTATCCCAGCATAGACAGACGAGGTAATAATCATTTGGTCTGACCAAAGCCAATGCCCTGCAGCAGCAATGACCTGCAAAATGGTGACTCAAAGCTGGGGAACAATACGTTTGTATTTCATTGTCTATCTTTCTGTCCTACTCGAAGATAACCTGTACCCAAGAGGGACTTAAACACCCCTGGCTTCACTCTGTTTTCCAGGGCGTAAGCACTTCTCGCCTCCTCCAACCACCTATAATGCTCTCATGTTTTCTCTGGAAGAGCTGCACTTTATGATGCCCCAACCTTTCCTTCTGAAATAGGCCACACTAAGTAATTTGGGCTGGCCTTGAACTTACATTTCTGTGGAGGATCAGAAGCTCTTTTTGTGCCAGCCAGGTTTTGTAGGCCAGTGACAGGGGCGAAGGAGGGGCGGCAGCTGCTGTGTGCACCGTGCTGATCCCCCTGAAAAAGAGACACCGTGGTCACTGGCTTGCAGGACTACACGGCCTAGACACGCATCTTCAATCAGAGTCTACGGTGTCTGAGGTCAGCAGCCATCTACAGAACATTCTGAAGAAGTCAAGAAAGAAAACTGGTTATGGCACTCACCCCTCTCCACCCAGCCCATTACACATTCGCTCCTTTGTGCTCCCCACTGCAGATATCTGCATCTCAGCCACAGTAAGAACGGACAACTCCAGCTGCTTTTGCTGCACATGAAATCAGACATTGTCCTAGGTGGCCACAGGGTTACGGTCTTCAGTGTTTGAGGAAGCAAACAGTATGATGCCCATAATTACCCAGTTATTGAGCTTATGCCTAACTGCATTGAAAATTTAAGCTAAGACTAACATCACTATGACCATTTGGTAAGTTATAATGTGTTCTGTTATGAGACAGGGTCTTGCTATGTAATACAGGCCTGCCTTGAACTTGGGTCTTTCTGAGTGCTGAGATTACAAGTGTGTGCCATCATGCCTGGCTGCAGTTCTTTTTTTTTTTTTTTTTTTTGGTTGGTGCATGGCAGGCAGGTGCTACAGCTACCTTACCATAGTGATCATTTATTTAACTATGGAAGAATCCTTAAAACATATTTCTTAAGGAAGACCTAAAATTAGCAGACATGTTATAAGCCTTATAGACATATTTAGACTCCACAATGTAAAATCTGCTACATTTTCATGACACACACATACATGTACATCCCAGCCCTACAGAGGCGGGACCTGAGGCACACACTTGGGAGTCTCCTTCATAAAAACAAAAGTAAAATTAAAAATAAAATGTCTGTAACTCCTTTTTATTTTATACATGTGTTTTGCTTGCATGTATGTATGTACACCATATGCAACAGCCTGAGGCAGCCAGAAGAGGGCACTGAATCTCCTAGAACTGGAGTTCCAGATGAGGTCACTGAATCACCTAGGACTGGAGTTACAGAGGAGTCCATCAGAACCCCCAGAACTGGCGTTAGAGATGGTCATGAGCCATGATGCGGGTGCAGGGAATTAAACCCAGCTCCTCTGCAAGAATAGCCAACTGCTCTAAACACCTGACCATCTTCCCAGCCCCTACACTTTATCACATACTTTCTATTCATCAATTAACTTATCTTTTAAAGTTCATTTTCATATAGGCTGTAGGCATCTGCACTTTTCTTTGGTGTGACACAGGGGTTCTAGGTATCTTAAGCTGATCTTACCTTATTTGTGATCTAGTTGAGCATAGTCTTGAGCTTGGGACCCTGATTCTACCTCCCTGAGCATTAGGATGGCGGGTGTGTGCCACCATGCCCAGTTTATATGGTGCTTGGGACAGAAATTTATGAACTAGAAGTTACACTTAACCACTATCAAACACCAAACTGTGCAAACGCATAATTAAGATGTATTAAAAACAGATATAGAGCGGGAATGTGGCCCTGGATTCAACTGTGAACTTCATGAATCATGATGATACTTATATACATTCCTCCAGAGGGGTCAGAAACCCAGGCTACCCACCACCTCAACTGCTGAGCCAGGGAGAAGAACAGTTTCCTGTCCAGTATGGCTCAGTGTGTACTCTAGCCTCCTGTGTACAACGAGGCTTGCTGGAGCCACTGGACATGGATGAGTCTTCTACCAGAGAAGAAGCATGCCTGAGACTGTGGTCCTGCATCTGCAGCTCCCACTGTCAGCCTGAGTCTCCACTGAATCCCTGATGAGTCACTCGTGGAGTAAGCAGCAACTGCACTCATCTGGGCTGGCCGCTAATCACAGAAACTGGGGGTAGGATGAGTGAATGGATTAACAGTGTGGATTAGGTCTGATGGCTTTGAAGTTTTTAAAAAAATTTTGTTTACATGTGTGCACTTATGTCTGTGTGAGTATAGGTGTCAGATCCCCTAGAACTGGAGTGAAAGCCAGTTGTGAACCACCATGCAGGTGCTGGGAATTGAACCTGAGCCCTTTGGAAGAGCGGCCAGTAACCTTAACCCTTGAGCCACCTCATTGGGCCTGCTTTGAAGATCCTTGAAGTCAAAGCAGCTAGTCTGTGATCCTGTCTGACCAATGACATATATTCAAAATTCTTTTATTAGACGTGTGTGTGCGCGCGCACGCCCGCGCGTGTGTGAGCGTGTAAACACATGCCATAGTATGAGCAGGAAGGTCAGAGGACAACTTTTGGGAGTCAGTTCTCTCCTACAAAAAGAGTTCCAGGAATTAAACTCAGGTCACCAGGTTTGGTGGCAAGTGTATTTACCCACAGACTCACTGGCCCTCAATAACATCTTTTTTTTTTTTTTTTTTTTTTTTTGCCCATTTTCTAACACCAATGAGGCAGCTATGCCAACCGCAAATCCAGAACTCCTTAGGCTGCGGGGAGGCTAGAGCTACAAGACAACCAGAAAAGGACTAAAGGTCACACTTTAACTTCAAAAGGGGGGCTGTCCATAACCCCCAAAGAGACCAGGGGCTCACATGCAAGTTTCTACAGCTGACTCATGTGCCAAGGGGGACTAAGAGAGGTAGACTGAGTGTGTCAGCCATTATAACACACACACAAAATGACCGTGAAAATACTTCATTAAAAAGGTGGTACTGACATCAGTCTTGCAAATAAATATATTTGCTAACTCACAAAATGTCAACCACTAATACCTCCCTGCCGTAAGAGAGACCCCCATACTTTGCTCTCCTAGGAATACACCATTAATTGCCTTCAGCATGTGTGAGTGGCTATTCACAAGTTAACTTTATAGCAATGTTTAATTGGATGAACAGAACAATGTTGTGCTAATGAGGGTCAAATTGCCACCAGATGTTACTTCCTTTTTTTTCCTTTTTAAAATAAACACAGCTGTGTACGTGTGTGCACAGGAAATATAGAACAGTGGGAGAGAAAAATGGTTCTAAGAAAACACTTATAGGCAGTAAAGGGAAGAAAATGTGGGCTTAATGAATTTCCACCCCCCTTTCATTTTTATTTCAAATCATGAGCACACACTGAAGTTGAGCTGTGACTGTGTGGTACATCAGACATCATTTCTAAACAATCGCTTATAAAATGAGGAACTTTGCCCCAGCAGGTGAGTGAGTGAGTGAGTCTGGGAAGACATCAATAACCTGGTTGTTTGGAGCGGTCTTCCGAGAGGAGGCCCAGGAACCGGCTCGGAGTCTCCCAATCTCCAGTTGCACGAGGCCTTGGACACACTTGGGAAGACAAGAAAAGACAGAAGTCAAACATATTAGCATTTATGATCTAAAACACCAGAGCGGGGCCGTCAGTCTTCTGCAGCTTCCTAGAGGGCAGTAGGTCAACAGGCAAGAAGGGAACCAGTCATCCAAAACCCAAACAAAACAGCACGTCACCACTTCACCCATGAGTCCTTCAGATGCATCGAATGGGTTTGGTATAACTGCCTTTCTTCCCTGCCATCTCCCTTCTGATGGAAGTGTTCAAAAAGACCAGGACAGTCGAGCAGTGGGAAAGCGCGGTGTGGGGATCCAGGAGCAGATGGTGCACAAATCCACGCCCTCCTTTGCAGAGTAACTGAGAGCCGACTGAACCCAAAACCTCGATTATTAAAGCAAACCCCTGACTGCACAAGATTCCACAGCTGCTTTTGAGATCCACTAGTTGCAACCAAAGGGGAAGGAGGTTCATGAGGCAGAGCCTCTCAGCTGCAGGCTGCCGCCACAAGTTCACCATTGCCCAAGTGGGAACAACGCACCCAAGCAGAACGTTGCGACTCTGTCTTCATTTGAGAACCTAAGAAACCAGTCTAGATGGACCCTAGCATTCCCTCTTAGTGATCAAAGTTGGGTTTGAGTTATGTAGAGGGAGGGGTGGCCTCCATACTCTAGGAGAGCATGTTCTGTCCAATGAGCTGGATGACAAATGTGACAGTTGGAACAGTCACTAGCATGCGAAACTGCCTCAAAGCCGCAGGCAGGTCCCTCAGTCTGCTTAGTCAGCACAACAGCTTTCCTGCAGAGCTGTTCTCGATCATCAGGTATTATACTGCTAGTAAGAGCGGAGCAAAAACATCCCACCAAGGCCAGGAAGACTGGGCCAGCTCCATGAGCACTTGTCACTGCAGCTAGGCAGAAAGCTGCCCAGGGACTCACCTTGAGGATGGTGGCCACTGTCTCCTGTGAGGCATGTCTCATGTCCTCTCCATTCACAGACAAGATCTGGTCTCCCTGAATCAATCTGCCATCAAGGTCTGCGGCTCCGCCTTTCACAATGTCAGAAATAAACACTCCGCTTCCACTCCTGTTAACATCACCAAGCATTGTGGGATTGGCACAGCCAGTTAGTCAGTCATTAAAATGGACTTTACTTTATAAAGACTTAGGTTAAGATCTCTAAAACCAATCCATTAGGTCCAATGCCATCCACTAACTTTCTAAATACTCAGCTCCACAATTAGATTCTGCCTCTCCATGCTTTGTGTTGCACATTCATCTTTGCCTACCGTGCTTTTATTTCTATTGGTGGTGTAAGCCTGTGACCCCAGCACTCGGGAGGTGATGATTTTAGTAAAGCAAGATGGAATTTACTTTCCAAAGAGGCAGTGTTTGTGGCCTGGAGCATAGTTCTGTAGCTGACTGCTTTCTGGTGTAAGTGTGACCCCAAGCACCCCATACAGAAAAGAAATGAGCAAACTATTTTCTTAGAGAAGAGCCATTGCTAGTAACTTCCTTTTCTTAAAAAAATATTTTTGGGGGCTGGAGAGATGGCTCAGTGGTTAAGACCACTGGCTGCTCTTCCAGAGGACCCGGGTTCAAATCCCAGCATCCACATGATGGCTCACAACTGTCTATAATGAGATCTGATGCCCTCATCTGGCCTGTAGGCATGAATGCAGACAGAACACTGTACACTAGATAAATTAAATTTTTTTGATTATTCATGTGTTTTAGTATATGTGCTGCCGAAGCGAGCACGATTCTTCATGTGTTTATGTAGGTAGATATGTGCAAGCCAGCACACGCATGGAGATCAGAGGGCAGCATGTGGGGGTTGCTACTCCCCTTTCTCCCAGGATTCTAAGGCAAGTCATCAGTTTGGTGGCATGTGCCTTGCCCCACTGATCTTTCTTGCAAGCTTCTAACAGTTCTATTTCTAATCTCCTTTTCCTCTTGTATTTCCTTGATTATGTAATCCCCCCCCTCGATGTCCAGTCTCCTGTAGGGCAGGCCAGCCTTGTACTTCTGATCCTCCTGCCTGCACCTACTTAGTGCTGGGATCTTAGGCCTATAACACCTAGGCTTTCATGGAGTGCTGAGCTTCATGCAGGCCAGGCAAGCAGTGTACCAACTGAGTCACACCACCCCCAGCCTTTTATCCTCAGTCTTAACTCCTTTTATTTGCTGCGTAAATTTGTTTCAGAATTGAAGAGGGCAAAAGTGTAAAAGTGTGTATCTTGGAGCTAGAGAGATGGCTTAGCACTTTTGAGTGTCTACTGTTCTTACCGAGGACCAGAGTTTTGTTTCCAGCATCCACACTGGGCAGCTTATTACCATCTGTGACTTCAGCACACACACACACACTCTCCCCCCCAGACCCTCCCAGGGTCTAAGGCTGCAGGCTGTATACTCTACCATCGAAGCTGTGGTGATTCAGTGTCTAGAGACGTAACTACATTGCGAACTACCTCACTTTTGTCGTATTTGATCTTTACACAGCTTGGCAATTGATTGTTGTGGTAGGTATGCTGAAGGCTGAAGACAGATCACACACATCCTACCTATGTGGCCTGGAAGTGGGCTACCTCCCTACCTCTACCAGTCTTCATAAACAACAGAGCATGTCCATTTTTACGGCTGCATACTATTCTGTTGACGTCCCATAATTTCACTTATTGAATGTTTACCACTCTAGTTGATGGTGTGAACCTGAGAGAGCAGGGCCTAAAAGTGAGGTAGACTCATGTTTCAAGCAATAGCCAACTTTATCCAGAACATCAGGAAATTTATGTTGAGGGTTAATAAGAATCGCATGAGTCAGGTGTTCAATCACAAGGACAAGCAATATGAGACAAAAGATGATTTTTTTCCATGGAGGTCTATAAATAACAATAGCTGAAGGAAGTTCACTCCATCCACTACACCTGGGAGAAGCACGAAAACACATTCCAAGAGCAATTCTGTGTTTTGAAGAAACTGAGATCCTCAGTCTCTTGTCTCGTTTTCTTGGAATTTTTTCACAAGTACTCAGAATTCTCACACAACTCCATTCTAGGACTATGTTCTAACAACTGAAGACCTAAGGTGAGGGTTTTCATTTGTTTGTTGCCTCTTCTATTCCTTAGTTACTGCAAAATATATACAATAAGTATTTGCAAGCAAATCTTTAAGGAATTAAGGACTAACTTGTCAAAAGGGTCTGCAAACCTTAAGAGATGCACCTGATCCTTTACAATGAGAATATGAGTGTTCTTTCCGCACTGCAGATGGTGAATGGAGTCACGTCATCTATTACTCGACAGTAAAGGCGAACACTGTGTGTGGTGGTCAGTCCAGCTGAGGTAGGGAGGCTGTGAGTTTAAGGCTAGCCTAAACTACACAGTGAGCGCCTGTCTCAGCAAGCCACATGAAACAGAACCACTGTTCTCTGACTGGGATGCCCTCAGGGAAACAGACGTCAGCAACTGACCCTCAGGGAAACAGACAGCTCTGCACCCTCAGATACTGCCCTGGGCAGCCACTCCAACCCTCACTGCAGAGCTGAGTGCAGACTCGGCAGCCCAGCTGGATCAGCCCACTAGGTCCAGCTGTATCTCACCACGACATGTCTTAGAAACCCCATCACTACTCTACAGGAGGCTTTCTTTTTCAGTGTCTAGGAATATTGGTCCCTGTGTGCTGAAGAGAAACTCTGACCTTGCCTGGAACAATCAACCCATCCTTACCGTTTCCCAACAATGCTCAGGCCCAGTCCTCGGCCAGTCTTCTTCTGCAAATCCACAAGGAACACCTCCAAGTTCTCCTCATCTCTGTACTGTGCCTCGTCTCTGTACACCACCAGGTGCACCTTCTGCGGGGTCTGCCTCAGGGCTGTGATGGCTTCTTCATGGCTGCAGCTCCTCAGGTCAACCCCGTTAACCTGTAACGACAGCCATCCTGAGATGGGCAGGCACTGCAGCCTCCTGTGGCTTCTTGACCCAACTGGTACGGAATCTCAAGAAAGTTCCAGTCATTCCCAAGGCACACCAGACGACCATCAGGAGTATGAGCTGCTCCACACATAGAGAGACCCCCACCCTACAAAGGACAGGGTGGGTTGGTGTGCCTGGTCATATGTTTGCACAGCTGTGAACTTCACTGTGGAGTTAGGGGAGCTGGTGTGTGTGTGTGTGTGTGTGTGTGTGTGTGTGTGTGTGTGTGTGTGTGTGTGTGTATAAGCAGTTACTTACTGACTTTGGAGGCAAGTAGCTAATGCAGCTATGAGCTCAGTTAATAAGTATCTTTGGGCTGTTTGCTTGTTGGATCTGACATTCTCACTCTCTTTTATTTGTTTATTTATCTCTGGCCCTCTGAGACAGTCTCACTATGCAGCCTTGGCTGTCCTGGAGATGCTATATAGAACAGGCTGACCTCAAACTCACAGAGTTCTGACACCTCTGTCTCCTGAGCACTGGTATTAAAGGTCCGATCTGTTACAAATCTGGCTGGCTCCTCACTCTTAACTGCCCAGATCACATCATCTTTAGAAATCAAGGACAGTAGTTTCCAACAGCTTCAAAGAAGCCCTTGAAGGTTCACATTTGAACCTGATGGCAGGGACACAGAGAGGCCCACCAACAGAGAACATACAACACTGGGAACAGTCACCAAGTCACATGAATCTGACAGGCATCTCTACTGCATGTTGAAGACTGAGCTATATGCTCAGGAGTGGTCTATCTGGGTCACACAGTCCTTTTTTTAGTTTGTGTGTGTGTGTGTGTGTGTGAGTGTGAGCACTTGCCATAGAATGTATGTGGTGGGGTCAGAGGAGCTAGCTGGTTCTCTTCTTCCCACCACATGGCTTCCAGAACAAACTCAGAACTCAGGTTAGTAGGCTCCCTTACTTGCTGAACCATCTTGCTGGTCTTGCTGTTTGTTTGCTTGTTGTTGTTAAATATCTGTATTAGTAATTTTCTCTGTTGTAACAAAATATCTAACACAAGTAACTTAGGGGAGGTTTATTTGGGCTTACTTTCATAGAGAATGGTCTACCATGGCAGGGAAGGGGAGGTGGCTGGAGCAGCTGGGTCCATGGTGGCAGCAGCCTGTGGCTCAGTTGGTTCACATCTTGTCAGATCATGAAGAAGGGTTTGAGCTACACCTTTTCATGGTCTGCAGTCATTAGCTAGGCTCTAGCTATATCATCTAAGTTTCCAGTCTCCCCAAACAGCTATGGGCACCAAGAGATGAAGTTCATGGCATATTCAAAACACAGCAACAGACTGGAGAAAATCTCAATGTCCTGCCCTGCCCACCCAGTACCTCTTCAATACCAGGACCTCGAGCCACTCGTCACTAATCTATAATCGAGGCTCCTTTTGCTTTGAGCTTGCTCTCTGCCCAAGGAAGGATCTAAACATACAATCCTCCTGCCTCAGACTCTAAGCAGCTGGGGCTACAGGCCTACATATTTTAGACTTACAGTTTTGTTTTTTGTTTTTTGTTTTTTTTGGCTAGGTATGGTGAACATTTTTTCATGTATTTATTTCCCATTTGTACTAATACTTTTTTTTTTTTTTTGGTTTTTATGAGACAGGGTTTCTCTGTATTGTTTTGGAGGCTGTCGGTCCAGCCCGGCCTCGAACTCACAGAGATCCGCCTGCCTCTGCCTCCCGAGTGCTGGGATTAAAGGCGTGAGCCACCACCGCCCGGCTCGTACTAATACTTTTGAGAAGTGTTTGTTCAATTAATTTGCCCACTTATTTGCTGGATTTCTTGTTCTTTCAGTGTGTAATTTTTTAGCTCTTTATATATCCTGAGTATTAATTCTCTGTTGTTTAAGTAGCAAGCAAAGATTTCCTCTCACTCTGTCAGCTGTCTCTTCACTGACAATGATTTTCTTTGCCATGCAGAAGCTTTTAAATTTGATGTAACCTCACTGTCAGTTCTTTTCTTTATTTCCTGGAGTCTTACTCAGAAAGACTATGTCTACTCCTCAACTGTTTCTCCTCTTTTGCAGACTAAAGTCTTGAATTATGGTTGTCACGGTTACTTTTCTATTGATATAAGACCAAGGCAACTTATAAAAGAAAGCATTTACTGGGACTCACAGATCCAGAGGCTAGAGTCAATGATCATCATGGTGGGAAGCATGACTATAAGCCAAAGTCTCATTACCATTTGTAGATGAAGAAACCAAGGAGTGGAGAGGCCAAGGAACTTGACCAATGTCACACATCTAGCCGATGGAGGAGCAGTCAACATTTGAACCCACACTTCTCTCCTTCCTATATAGATGTGTGTGTGTGTGTGTGTGTGTGTGTGTGTGCACATGTATGTGGAAAAACAGACGGTGACACTAAGAATCCTCTACTGATTCTGTCTACCTTATATATTGAGGCAGGGTCTCTCACTTGAACCTAGAACTTGACAATTTAGCTAGTCTCAGTGGCCAGACTCCTGTGGAGATCCTCTGTTTCCACCTCTGAAGGGCTGGGATTACAGCCCATGCCCACCTGATACTTTGTGGGGGCTGAGGATCTGATGAACCCCAGCATTCACTCTTACATAGCAAGTGGCTTGCCCACTGATTTATCTCTTCAGTCCCTAACCTAGACAATCTTCCATTCTGGTCCTTTTACCACACAGCCTCATAAGTTAGCCTCTGAATGTGTTATTGGATGGATCTACCACAAACAGTTAAATAATTGATACTGATTAGTGAATTTCTGCAAAGAAGAAACTCAGGGATAGTTAGATTCAAGTTAGTCAATCCCTGCATGCCACATATTGGAAAAGAGCCAAACAAAATGAAGAATAGTTCCAACTATGGCCAGACAGACGGCAAGAATGACTTCTACCCCTTGTTCTGATATAGCCCTGTGTGCCCCAAGAAGGTCAAGCCTGTCTTTGAACTTGGTCCTTTTATCTCTTCAGTAAAAGACAGTCTAAGGCTTTTCCAACCCTGATACCTAATGGCTAGGGACCCTAGGAATCCAAAAAGGAAGGAAAAAAACCAACTCTTCTTGAAGAAGGTGACTTTGGGGTTGTGTTTAAAAATTTTTTTAATTATTTTATTTTTAAAGTGTATGGATGTTTTGTTGGCATGTATATCTGTGTACCACATGTATGCCTAGTGGTCAAAGAAGCCAGGAAAGGGTGTTGGATCCTGTGGAATTGGAATAGCAGATAGTTATAAACTGCCACATGGGTGCTGGGAATCGAATCTGGGTTCTCTGGAAGAGCAGCTAATGCTTTTAATTGCTGAGCCATCTGTCTAGTCCTGCACTCATGAAATTAACTAACTAACTAACTAACTAACTAACTAACTAACTAACTAACTATGTTGTACCGAGGGCTTTGCACATGCTAGGTGCAAGCTTTCTCCCTACCCCACTGGGCTGTTGTTTAAATCTGATTCTAGGAGCCAAGAACATTTCTAAAAGGCCAATTACCCATTACCAAGACACCTTTTCCTTTCTGATATATCTCAGCACTCAGAGACACCCAGAATCATGGTGGTTAAAGACATAGTTTCAGACAGAGGCTGAATCCAGTTGCTACGCTAGTCTGACTTTCTGGCTTTGTGAAACCCATAGAAATGACTTCAGCTGGGTTTCTGTGTCTTTCAAGGCTGGAGCCAGGAAGAATACATACTTTGTATGGTGAGAATCGAATGAAATAAACCCGTCAAGTTACTGTAAGAAAGAAAAGAAATGATGGGCTGAAAGGCAACACTGTCAGAGCTGTTTCCTCTGTGCCGGACCCCTCGCTATTCTCAGACCACTAAACACGCCTTTGCAATGTTAGTGAATAAACCCACAGAACAAAGGGAAAACAGCGTTTCTAGGAAATGTGAGCTAAGCTGATTATTTTCCTGTGGTCCAATAGATGGCACACAAGACCACTTCTATTGCTTAAAACACAAGGTGACCTCATGGACTCAAAGGCCTTAGCAAAAGCACAAATAATTGAAGGCATTTTCATTGAACTCTACTATTACAAAAGCAATTTCTACCAAATTCTGGCATCATGGGGCCTGTTCAGATGGGAGTGACCTCAGCTGGGATTTCGTGTGCTCAGCTGATCAAGGGGCAGCATGAGGAGAGAAACCCATGCAGCCTGAGCACAGTGGGCTGATGCGTCACCCCAAGCGCCTCAGAGACACTGTAGGCGGCATTCACAACACTGCTTATTGAGCTTTAGGTGGGGGGAGTGGCCCTGGTTTGAGAAGAGCTCTTGGAGGTCCTGCTGTCACATCTTCTCTGTAAAGGCTGGGCATGTAAGGAGTGGATGAGCCATTGCCAGATGAGGGCTTTGGTTGCTCATTATTTTAGTTCATGAGGAAAATCAGGCATTAACTGTCTCTCTGATCCTACTTACACGTACTATAGTGACAACAGGGTAGGGTACGAAAAGGGATTGGTCATATCACTGCAGGAATAGTTGAGTCAAAGACAGACAATTTGACCTTATGGACCAAGGTCAATCATGTTCACTGTTACAAAGTGCAATACAGAATGAGGTACCTCTAATATCTGGTCTCCAGCCCACAGTCTCCCATCTCTGGCTGCAGCACCTTCTTCATAGACTTCATGGATAACTATAGCATCCTAAAAAAAAAAAAATCCCATTAATTCCTAACAACTAGAAACAACCTAAAGCAAGCATCCGGATGGTGGGCAGTAACCCACAAAGGGCAATTTGCTAATGATGTTTACTTTCTTGATGTAAACATAACTAAGACGCAACAGTTACAGGTTGAGAAGTACAATCACGTTTTCCAGAGATGATTATTTCACTTCTTAAGGGTGGGATTGCCTCAGATTCCAGGTTAAACTTCATTAGCGTGTTTTTTTTTCTGTTGACCTTGAACATTTGCTGCTGTGTTCAAACTTGAGGTGAACCTCTGTGTCATTTACTTTTTCCTACTAATTTTAAGCACAGTTTCAGGTATTTCCTAGAGCTCCAGGGTTCAGCACAGAAGTGTGGCCTGATCCAGGGTTGGCCTCATTACTTTGGCAATGAAAGAAAATGTAACAAAGTGACCTCATGCTGGGGGACAAAGCAGGGTATGGGAGGAAGCGCCCAGAAGCCCAAGGCAGGTCAGTTGTGGGCTTGGAACTCCCTTGAACCTAACGCTCAGGCCAAACCAAACTTGTAGGACACTATCTGTGACAGGTAACCTTTGGTTAAAAATGTTTCTTCGTTAATGAATTAAAAATAATTTGCATCTCTTCATATTAATAATCTCACTTTTTGTTTTCTTCCCTTTATTTCTTCTTTAACCTAAGTTTTTTTCATATAATATATTCTGATCATATTTCACCCCTCTTTCAGTTTCTCCCAGGTCTTCCCTACCTCCTTATTCACCCAACTTCCTTTTCTTTCTTTCCTTCTCTCTCTCAAAAAAAAGATAAACTCCAAAATCTAAACAAATAAAAATCATTAGAGACAACAACAACATGGAGTCTGTTTTGTGTTACCCCACTACTCCTGGGAACAGGGCTTGCCTTAGAGTGTGGTTGACAGACTCAGTGTCACTCCATTGGAGAAAAGTGATGCTCCCTTCCCAGAAGCCCCCACTTGCAAAGAGCTCCTTGGTTAGGTGTCTATTTCCCTTTCTCTATGCTGGAACTTTGTCTATCTTGAACCTGTGCAGGTCTTGTGTGTGTTGTCACAGTCTCTGTGAGTTCATGTGTGCATCAGCCCTGTTGCTTCTGGAAGGGTCAGCCCTGTTACATCTGGAAAACACTTTTTCCTTGGAAGTCACCTACAACCTTGGGTCCTTAAAAATCTTTCCATCTCTCCCTACACATAGATCTCCAAGCCTTGAGGGGAGGGTTTGATTAAGATATCTCATTTAGAACTGCTTCAAAGTCTCTCACTCTCTGCATATCCATTTACTCTCATGTTCTTGGCCACTTTAAGAGTGTCAGGTATGGATTCCAGCTCATGGAATGGCCCTTAAAACTATAAAAAGTAGTTGGTTACCTCCATTACATCTGTACCACTGCTGCACTGGAGAATCTTGGGCAGGTCACTATTGCAAGCTGCAGGGTTTGTAGTTGGGCGATACTGATTACTTTTCTCCTCTGGTAGTATACAAGTCCTTCAAGCACTACAAACACCAGTCAGCACAGGTGAAGCTTATAGCTTGATTTCTCCATGTTTGATGATGTAAGTGATAGCTTCACCAACAGGGCCTTATCGTTGTGATGTAGAGGGTAACTGATGGCCTTGGTAACAGCTGTGATATTTAGTGGGGGCTATCTACAGAGCTCCTTGGTCAACTCAACAAGATGTAACCCATTCCTGGCACTGGAGGTTTTACTTGGTGGCATAAGATGTCTAGTTGGAACACCTTTTCTCTCATTCTATGGTGACTTCATATAAATTCATTTCATAGGATCAGGCATGGTCATCCACACCTCTAATCCCAGCACTTGAGAGGAAGATGCAGACAGACTGCTGTAAATTCGAGGCCTACATAGTCAATTCCAGACCAGTCAGGGCTATATATTAAGACCCTGTCTCAAAAAACGTAAATTCCTTTCATATACGTATATATTTTAGGAAGCTTATACAATAGTAGTTCTCCGTGTGGCTTTTCAGAAGGCCTTTCACTTTAGTTGCCACTCTTGCAGTCCCTGTTTACCCTGCTCTTGAATCCCCCTCCCATTTAACGGTATTTTAGTTTCCCCTTTATCTCTTATAACATTATAGTCTATTCCCCTTCCCTGAAAAATCCTTTCCTTCCCCCTTACCAGATACCTACCTAATCTCTGTGGTTACTCTGATTAAAATGCACACTAAAGCTTAAAAGCTAGTATCCACATATAAAACAGGCAATATTTGTCTTTTTGGGTCTGGTTTACCTCACTCAGAATGACTGTTTCTAGCTCCATCCATTTACCTGCAAACTTCATAATTTCATTTTTCTTCTTTGAAAGCATGGTAGAATTAAGCACTTGATCCACTTGGCTCTGGGCTTTTTTTTTTTTTTTTTTGGTTGGGAGGTTTTTAGTTACTGTTTCTATTTAACTTGGGGTTGGAGGTCTGTTAAAGCTGTTTATTTCACCTTGAATAAGCTCAATGTTTTAATCATCATAAAAATTAACACCTATGTGAAGGATTTGCATGACATCTCAGGTGTCAGGATTGAGAAAGAAGAAGATATCTCCACCCTGGACTCCAAGCCCCACAGTCCAGCAACAACTACACACCCAGTACTTAGACACTCAGTGAGACTATTCTGAAGTTATTAACTAATTTGTTCAAGCTTTGAAATTCCTTGTCTTGGATTTTGCAGTGCTAGAAATGGAGGCTACTAAAGCTTATGGGGTATCTTTTTGTGTTTAAAAAAACTGAAGGGAACCGGACAGATTGAGTCAATGGATGATACTGGTGTCTTGGGGGCTGCAGGGAGAGGTAAGGAGCTTTTGCATAGGCATGGGGATGATCAGGATCTGCATCCTGCGTTGCCCAGGATCCTCCATCTTCCATCTATGGCATGCACAGATGGTTAAGATCCTGTAAACAATGAAAAGGGAGATATTCTAGGGCAGAGTCTAGGCAGAGAAATCTCAGGGTTCTGGAGATACGTTTCAGTGGTGGACAGCAGTGGCTGCTCTTCCAGAACATCCAGATTCAGTTCCCCGCACCCACACTGCAGGTCACAGCCATCTATAAACCAGTTCTAGGGGATCTGATAGCCTCTTCTGGACTCTTGGTGCACAAGGCATGCACATGGTACACAGACATAGTTGCTGGCAAAACACCTATGCATGTAACATACAGTGTTTTTTTTTTTTTAAAAGAAGGGGTATCAGTCCCATAAGAAGCCCTGTGTCCAAGCACAGGTCTATAAGATGCAAGATGTCTGGACTTGTAGAAATCACAAAATCACAATGTGGGACTTAGTGATGGCCAGGGAGGACTGATGGAGTTGTGTGGGAGTTGTCTTATCAATGTTGAGGTGCTCTGTTAAGAACACAGAGCTCATAAGCCCCCAGATAGCTAAGGTTGAATGTTACCTTAGTCCCAGGGAGCTTTGGCATTAAGCTTACAAAAAGAAAAGAGGCACATGCAAACAATTTCCTTCCTTTCTTTTCCCCTTCCCTCTTCCCTGGCCTTCCTTTTTTGAGAACAAGTCTCACTATTCAGTACTGGCTGGCCTGGAACTCACTAAGCAGACAGGCTGGTCTTGTACTTAGAGAGGTCTCCTTGCTTTTGCCTCCACCTCTGAGTGCTGGGATTGAAGGTGTGAGCCACTATGCCCAAGCCCTTTTTGAGACACAATTCTCATTCAGTAGCCCATGCTGACCTCGAAATCACTGTGATCCTACTACTGCACCCTGGTTTTAGAACATCTATGCCCACCATGCCAGGCTTGAATTTACTTTCACCCCCCCCAAATAATCCAATACAACTTCCAGGGAAGAGAAGCAACAAAGAGGTTTATAATCAAACCAAACCCTCCTAGGGCACTTTCATTTCACTCTGATACAGTTCTGAAATCACTCTTCACTTTAACAATTAGGGGCAGAGCTCAGAGCTGGGCAAGGAGTCTTGATCCAGCTGCACTTCAGATCCTGTAGCAGCAGTGGATTTAACTCAGACTAATGACTCTGTTTCTCTGCTGCTTCTGGGAAATGACTTTGAGGAGATGTACTGGGCCAGTGGCCTGAGGTGGTCCCAACACACTTCCAGACCGCACCAAGGGTCACTTGAACTATGGCCACACAGGAAGTAACTGAAGCACGCTTTAAGGAGTCTGGATGATGCCAGTCTGTAAGATCTCCCCATTCCGGGGTTGCAAGTCTCCCACTGAGCACAGAGCTGGTTTGTCACATATGCTCCCAGTTCTCCAAACATTCTCAATAACAAATGTAAGTGTTCTGTTCATTTATATCCATCAGGAAGACAAAGACCCATTATCTTCTCATTCTATGAAGTACTCTGGGCCTCTTTAACAAATGGTGCTGAGAAAACTGAATGTGTACAAGATGAAACTGAATCCTTATTTCTCACCTGCACAAAAATCAGCTCCAAATGTACCAAAGGCCTTAGTGTAGACCTAGTGACATGGGCAAGGGCTGTCTACCTAGGACTTGAGCCATGCAGAAGATAAATGCAACCATCAGCAGGCGGGCACTCCAAAGACTGAAAAGCACTGCACAGCAAAGCAGACACTTAACTGAGCAAAGAATCAGTCCAGAGAATGGGGAAAATCTTTGCTGGCTACATGCCTGGAGAATATACAAAGGACTGAAAAATCAACAAACCAACAAACCACCTCATCGAGCAACAAGAAAACAATCCAGTCAACAAAATGGGCTCATGAAACAGACAGTTCTCAAAAGAGTTAATACAAATGGCCATTCAACATGAAAAATGTTCAGCCTCACTAGATATTAGAGAAATGCCAACCCAAACTATAATGATTCCATCTCACCCCAGTTAGGATGGCAGTCATCAAGAAAACAATAAAAATTATGGTGATGAATAAAAATAAGGAACCCTTATATGCTGCTGGGATGAGGTGGGGGCCCTGCAAACTAGCCAAGTCTCTATGGAAACCAGTGTAGAGGCTTCTCAAGTACTCCTGGGT